AGAGAAAGAACAAAGATGAACAAAAGCAAGAGGAAGGAATCGTTTAGCAAAAGAATAAAAGAAATAAAAGCTGGAAGAAAAAGAGGAAGAGGAGGAGGAAAGGGGTGAAATGTAGTAAAAGAAGGAATAGGAGGAAGAAGAACAGAGAGACTGGAAGAAGTGCTTGGATTTGATGATCTTAAGGGTCTTTTCCAACCTAAATGATTCTATTATTCTACAGCTAAATTTCCTGTCATTAGGGACTGGCTACGCCAAGTATAAATGTTTTTCTTATATTGGCTTCATTTTAAATTCAGCATGACTGGGCCTGCCACACCAACTCATATACGTGAGGTTCTTCTTGATGCAGCTGGAATGTGTCTCTGGCTGCCTACTGTTCATGAGCTGTGCTTTCAGCCGAGTTCTCAGAGGCAGCAGTCTTGCTTTCAGGAGCTAGAGGAAATGTTTATCCTGATCAACGCAAAGTTTTGAAATCTTCAAAATGTTTCCATTCTATTTCAGAGAAAAAAAAGTTGAAATTTCATGTTCTATGAATCAGTAACCTAAACAAAACAAAACAAAATAATAGAGTAGTCGAAATTCTTTCACCTCGAATTTATCTCTGCATATTCTGATAAATTAGCATGTATTTCTAGATAGCAAGTCCAGAACTGTTAAGTGTGGTGTCTTTATTAGAACATCTTTACTTCTATTTAAAATATATTTCTAATGATGGTTTTATGTTTTGAAGCCTACTTTCTGAACTATTTTCTTTCAAGAAATTAGGGCAATGTAAGCTATCTTCATAAAAGTTCTCTTCTACCTATTGCCCGCCCTATCAAAATATAGTTTTGGCAACCTGGCAGGCCTGTGTAGTATTTTAACTCCCTATTGTGCTCTGGCTACCCATTTCCAAGCAGTGATGGCTTGCAGAGTCAGGAGATAAGAAAAAGCTTCTGAATGTCAGAGTTCTCTTAAGATTGATCAAGTACAAGTAGGAAGTTTTGGGCTGCAGAGGGAAAGAATGAGATAGTAATTCTTCACTGCAGTGATAACATTTCCACAGTAGAGGCAGTGTGTTTCTGTCCTACATGTGAGTTTACTACTGTTTTATTTTTGTAGACCTGTTAGTCTTTGATAAACTGACTACGAAAATTGTTTCTGCTGTCTGCTAAGAATATGTAGAGTTACCATTCACTACTGTTCTGTGTTGAGATTTGTAGTTCAACCTGTAGATTCATGTGTCCTAGTGTTCAAATCATTTGTCATTAAAATTAAAAAATATTGCCTAAAGAATATCTGTATCAGGGATACCAATATTAGTAGGTAAGCATGCTAAGTTATACAGAAGACCTTTCTACCTTGAATCTAGATGCTTGGACTTGGTTGGAGGATGCCATGTTTAGCTGATTTCATCAGTAGCTATAATGATCATGAAGCAGCACACTCTGAAAATGAGTGCTGCAAAACACTGGAGGCAATTGAATTCTGAAGCTGTCTAGGTTGGTGTACTATTTTGCTGTAAAATGGTTTATTCATATATCATCACCGTTGTCTCCTGCTGAGAGCAGTAACTGAACTTTTCATATTCTACTTTTCATATTTTACATATGAACTTTTTCATATTCTTCAGCATTTATAATGACCTTCACAGGTGAAACCAGGACTTGCGTGCTTTTTTTAACTCAGATGTTTTGCTTTGTTATCATAGCTAAGCCACTTTAACAGTCAGTGTTGAATAAGGACTTACCGTTTGGGTTTGCACACAAATTCTTACACTTTATAAGCAGACCTCTTTATGTTCTGAAATAAAATGAGCATCTGTGGTTGTTATAACCTGTTGTTTTTTTCCCTAAGCATTTGGAAGTTTTAAAGGCATTCAGAATGTATGTCAACTGGATCTAATACTAGATCTGATTCCCATAAGTGGTATAAATGCTGATCCTGCAGAACACCAATATATGGATGCAATTTCATAAATTCTCTTTATTTTGATGGTAACCTGCTCATGTTTTAATTTTACTTATTATACATCTTTTCTGTGCCATTTCAACCCTTCACCCTGTAAAAAAGGGATACTGTCAATTGCACAAGGATGTCAAAAAAACTAAATAATACATGAAGATATAAAACATTGTGTAAATAATTAATATTATTCATATTCTTAATAACAATGCTATAATTAGTTCTGCAGAAGCTAAAAGGCTTGTAATACAGTTATAAAAATCCTCCTATATTTTGACTTTGTGCTTTAATTGTATAAAACTAAATTCTTACCCTCCACTTAAAATAAATGAAAAAGAAAAAAGTGTTTTGATGGTTCGAAACTGTAGCAGAATGATAAAAGTGCAACATGTAATCCTCAACGGTATAGCTGTTTTAAAATCAAAATACGAAATAAACATGGAACCTGTTCACTCATGAGTCCAGCATCAGCAGCAGAGCAAATCCAATGCCTGTGCTAATCGTTTATCAATTAGAACAAGGAAATCCAACAGAAACATTTCCCTAACAAAAAGAGTGACCTACAGACTCTTTCTAATTACTGCCCTTCCTCATTAGCCAGTCTTAGCCCACCAGCAAGATTCTCAGAGCTTTTCTGCCTTTTGCTTTTCTATTGTTCTTCATGACATTGATACCTTTCTCTTACACTTTTTTTCATTGTGCTTTCTGACACTGTGGTTTACTCTTTGTACTGGTGGTAGCAGGGTAGACCTGCAATGGACATGTGATTTGTGCAGCATGTAAAGCCCAGATGAAGACATTGTGAATCCCTGGGACTGCAGCAGTACACCTCTTTGGACAGGGAAGCAGAGTGCCCCTAAGACCCAACACAAGGTCTTAATTTTTAATTATTTTTTTTAAAAATAAGGTTACGAGGAGTAAATATTGAGATAAATCTATGGAATGCAACAGATAGAAAAATTTTGACCTAACATTAGAGATTCACTCAACACGTAACACTTCAACACAGGTGCAACTGTCGAAAGAAATTAACATTTCCACAAATTCATCCATTTAAAAATATCACTGGTTATATCCTCCTTGGAACAATAAAACGGCAGTTACTCCGGTTGAAGTATGAGAGAGTATCATGGTTCCTCTGTTAACAGCATCAAAACAGCCATTACACTTTTGATAGGTTTAGATGAACTCCTGTTGTCGTGGGCAGCTCGTCCCTGTAGGTGCACGTGTTGGTGATGCGAGTGCGGGGGGACTTGCAGAGGGGAGTGCTCCAGGGTCAGGCAGAGCTGCCTCCTCCCGGGATCCTCCGGTGAGTGATTTAGAGGGGCAGGTGCTGCCACCTCTTTAGTCCTGAACGTGCAAAAGCAGCCGACTCTCAGTCACGTTTCCTTCCTTCTTGCTGGTGGGAATAGGCAGACGGTCGGGCACATTTCCACTTCTGAAATTCATCGCATTACTTGGCACCCTTGCTGTTGGACGGAAGTACTGAGCTGGCTGGAATTCTTCCTGTTTCAGATGGCTGACTTCATGGCATGCTTAGGGCATAGATATAAAAACACTGTGTAACCTAACGTAAACCAGCACAGACTCTGCTGTGAATGCAATTATATAACGTAACCTGATGATTAAACTATTTTTGCAATATAACTGTCTCATACAGAGTAAAATAGATTTGTTTCTCCGTGTATGAAATGTTTATTTTTCTCACAAAGGCTTCATCATCCATTGTATTGTGGTTAAACTTCATACTAGAACTGTATGTAATATAAATCCTGTGCCTGGCTCCCATTGATTAAGGTGTGAATTCCTAATTCCCTTGAGATATTTTGAATTTCCTGATTTAACTGTATAGAGATTTGACATTTCTGCCTCCTACGTTAAAGTTCAGCAAAATATCTTGTCTTATAAACAGGATGGAAAGAAAACTGCAAAGGGCATGTGCTTATATGCTTCCCTAAATAGCAATGGATATAAATCATGTTCTTCAGGAATTTTTGTGATTAGTTTTTAAGTCTTGTACTGTCAATTCCCGCCATTTTCCTGCAAAACAAATGTTTTAGCAGTCTTGTGATTATGTTGTAATTTCTTCAGCTTAAGCAACAGAAAAATTATTAAAATGCATTAGGTTATAAATTTTGTGGATTGCTAACTCATTTATGTTATCTGTCATCGCTATTCGGATAAAACATGCAATTAGATTTATGGATACAAAGTAGTTACACAGAATTTGAGGAAAAAAATGCTAGAGTTTTCAAAATATTTAAATCGTGCTCATTTCTGGTGTTCTGGAAGTGGAAAGAAATATAGGTTAATTTAGAAGGGATAATTTAGAATAGTAAATAAATAGACAATTTTAATGTGGAGCGGAGTATGCTTTCTGCAAGTCCCCCAACAGTTTGCTTTAAGTAAAGCAGAACAAAATACGCTACGTTTAATAAGAACTCAGTCAGGCACAATTCAGCTTGTGTGTACTGAAAACAGGCTTTGGCCTGGCTCAGGTGTGATGGAGCCCGAGGTAAAGGCTTTCACGATGGCTTTTCAAACTATAGGAATAGAAGAATCTTCCCTTTTGAGAAGATACAGAGATTATATTATGATACTTTGGTTATCAATTTGAAGTGTACGTGTGCGGGGAGATAGTTTTCTTTTTCTTTTTTTTTCTTTTCTTCTTTTTTTGAGAACTGTTTTCTTATTGCAAATTGGTCTTGATTAAAAATGGAATATCTGGTTGCTGTTATGGCTCAAATGGAACTGATACATGCCAAATTTCAGTGCAGCTATAGCCAGGTGATATATAGTGCTAACTGATATCACCCAGTCTTTATAAAGCTGTTACGTCTTGAAGTACCATTACCTTATTTATTTTTACCACAGTGCTTTTGCTTACTTCATGCAATTACTACAAAGTTCTAAACTGTTTTTGATAACAATAACCCAAGACAACTGTCTTTGCAATGTAATTTCCTGTACCTGTATCCCAGCACATTTAATATTAGATCTCATTTGTCAAAAACAAGCAAGCAGATATCAGCAGCCTGTGTGTCTCGGCATTTCAGGTGGGGAAATGGGAGAACAACTCGCTGAGCCTGAAGTACTCTGTCTGGCCACGGTACAGCTCCTTCGCAGACAGCGACCCAGACGATAACCATTTAAGTATTGTCACCCTGGAGGAGGCTCCCTTTGTCGTTGTTGAGGATGTGGATCCTTTGATGGAAAGTTGCCAAAAAAACACCGTGCCATGTCGTAAATTTGTCAAAATTAAGTAAGTAAATATACAGCATTCCTTTCTTTTTTTTTTTTGGGTGCAAATACATTCCTCTACTTTCTCATTCTTTCCCTTATTTCTTTCAGTGTATAATTGTTTTCTTATACTTTGCTGTTCTTTTCCTCATGCTTCCAATATTTGCTTTTCCTTCTGTATTTCATTTCCTTTATATCTTTCCCTTTCCCACACGATATGCTCTTGTTTGCACATTTTCCTTTTTAATAAGTTAGAAGGTTCTGTTTTATATACATGTAAGTCGCATTGAATTAACAAGATAGTAAGTTTATAGTAAATTCAAAGTAAAATATAATTAGCCCTATTCAGTCACATGAATGAAGATTGCATTTTAAAATTGGATCGTTTTACTGAGTGCTCTTTGAATTGTTTCCGGTTATGTTGAAATATGCCTGTTTTAATTAGTCTTTAACAATTTAAGAATGTCTCCTCTTGAAAACGTATGTCTTGGTACAGGATGAACTACACCAGCATAAAATACCACCACGACACATAGTTTATAGAAAAGTCCCCTGCTTTGATTGCTCTGTAACTTTGGAGAAGTCATTAGAAATCAGTGGAAAATTTCTCCTTATGCGTTTATTGGTGTTGTTTCACCTGTTCTGTGCTTCAGTCTACGTATTTATGAACTGAATATAGTAATAACATTTTTTTACTGAGCGTATGTTAGGGAATATAATGCATGTTTCTGAAGATTCCAGAGACAGCTAAATGGTAGTGCACATACTTCCGAAGACCAGAGAAACTTTTTTTTTTTTTCACATAGCACTACTTAGTCAGGTTCTGAACTTTTTTTATTTCAGTTTTCAATTCTTTCAAAGCCCATAAAATGTTGTGTTGGCTTCTGAAGATACTTGTACTGGAAAATTCCAGAAGCCATGAAATGAATATTTCACAAAAAAATAAAGGAAAAGTCCTCATCTTTGCACTCAAAGATGGCCTGAAATTCACATTCTCAAAGTGCAGAAAAAGGTGCAGCATCCATTTTCAATATGGTGAACTTCTGTGCCTTTGTACAGCTTACATGTTGGGGAGTTCTCTAATTACTAAATAGCATGTAGTCTTATGTCTTGAGAGTAAAAGTAATAAATGTTTAATCTAAGCCTAAGAGAGAGATTAGTAAAAGGAGACTATGTCTTGATGGAGAAGTGAAGCGCAGTAGGCTGGATACTGCAGCAGAGAGTACGTCATACAAAGTGTACCACTATCATCTATTTATCTCTTGCCAAGCAACTGCATTACATTTAGTAAGAGCTACAAACACCATATAAAGCATCCTGTGGATTATTTTTCCATTGATGCAGAAAAACATGGTCACTCACAAGTATGACAAAATGTTGTTTCACATTATGCTGAATCTTGCTGTTGTGATTCTATTTTTCCCAGTAGAAATGTTTATGTCTCTCTGCTCTGTTGACAGCAACTCAACTAACGAGGGAACTAATGTAAAGAAGTGCTGCAAAGGGTTCTGCATCGATATCTTAAAGAAGTTGTCTAAAACTGTCAAGTTCACATATGACCTGTATTTGGTGACTAATGGGAAACATGGCAAAAAAGTCAATAATGTGTGGAATGGAATGATTGGTGAAGTAAGTTCTGTTAGGTAAAAGCTCTTAAGTAAGAACTAAGCAATGTTTGTTTTTAATTCTTTTGGAGAAATGAGGTGTTCTCTACTGAGTAATATTGGTGGTGTCTTCTCTTTGTGGATCAGGTGGTATATCATCGTGCAGTTATGGCTGTGGGGTCTCTCACTATTAATGAAGAGCGCTCTGAAGTGGTTGACTTTTCAGTGCCATTTGTTGAGACTGGGATTAGTGTCATGGTGTCACGGAGCAATGGCACAGTTTCACCATCTGCTTTTCTAGGTATGATTCTCCAACCCCTCCAGATAATTCAATTGCATTTCTATAGAGTTGGGTAGGTTTCGTTGTTCGTTAAGCTATATAGTGCATTGACGTGTTTCTGTCGAGTTTTGAATTTTTCATCAGGAAGTTTGTAACATGTTGACCTGCTGATTAGCATGAAGATAGTGCTGTTGGTTTCAGATCCAGTAAGTGACAACCAAGGACAGTGATTTTAATATGAAAAAGAATTCCCCAAAATCTTCAGTTGGGAAAATTACTTCCTGGAAACCTGCTTCTTTACAAACTAATTTATGCTTGTTTAGCCCATTATAAATGGCTTCATATCTTTTTAACATTCACATTGAGAAAATAATTTTAAAACTCCTGTAGAATAGCTAGGAAAAAGATACTTCCTTATGTTTAGAAGAGAGATGACAGCTAATTTGATAACAGAACTGGCTTCTGAACACCATACTACTGCACTGGAGAATTTATGAATGTTTTCTCCGTTGACGCAGTTGAGCAGTGGAGTTGTGATGATGCAGCTGAACACTGGAAATATAGCAAAGATATGAAAGTCTGGACAGAAAGGAGGTGGGATTTAAAGAAACAAAGACTTCCATCTCCTTTCCTTGTTTACTTCTTGTTTCAATTGTTCATGTCTCCTTTCGTTATTTCCCTTTCCTTCTCTTTTAGTGCTTATTGTTTACTTCTGTGTTTGATGATTAGCCTGAATTTACCCAAAGCTGAAAAGAGAATGAGCCATGAGATGGATCAAAAGTGCTCAGAACACTGTTACATTCCTCATAGTGTATTTGGACCCAGTATTTTTAAAGATATTTTGCACAGGATAATAGTGCTAGTAACACTGAAATAATTTAAGTGAAATTGGAAAAAAAAAAAATCAATATTTTCCAGATATCTTAAGAAACAGTTCAGTATGTTCAAGTCCATTGGGTCAGCAGTGGTGTCATTTTTGCATCACTGATTGTATGGTTTCTTTTTAGATTACTGAGTGTCAGTGGAGCAAATTGTTGGTGCAGTGTCAGCTACAAATGAGCAAATAATTGGGTTTTCTTGCACAGGAATTATCATTTAGCCACAGAGCTTATTTTTCATACCTGTTCCATAAAGGCACATTACAGAGATGTTGCAAATAACTCTAACACAGTGAGTAATCAAATAACTTCCCAAACGTGGTGATACCTAAACAGATTTTGTTGATGGTTTGTTTAGTGAATGAAAGACTTTTTAATGAAATTAATAGAGGCTTTACTTTCAATGAAAATAGTCAGATAGTATCTTTTCATTTCTATAAGTCATTGACTTGTAAAGTTAATTCCTTTTTTAAATTGCAGTTGCAGCATGTTGAAATTATCGTTTGAAATATAAGTACTGGGGTGTTTCCTAAATGTACTGCAAGTGCAGTTGATTTTTACTATGAACTGTGCTTACCTCTTAAAAACCTGCTTACAACTACCATCAAAAGAGAGGCTGCTTTTGCATTTTTCACAACAATGTAGTTATTAGAGTTCTAAAATGCATTCAATGTTATTAGTTTAGTTGGGTGTACATATAATTAAAAAAGTAAAAATAATCCCTTCTTATAAAGCTCCATAGAATAGCATTACTTTTGAAGAAATCTGATTTACTGCACCAGTAAATCAAGTCTGTACTCTCAGAAGTATGTTCTGTTTTTTCAGATGTAGACGAAATTGCCACTTTACTGGAATTGACTGTGTATTTTGGTGAGGTGTGCATAGTAGTAAAATGCTTTGCTATGCAAAACACTCTCAGGCAGATAACTGAATTTATTCACGGACTGATTTTGTTTCAGTTAAGTGAACGTCTAAGAATAGAGTCATCTTTCATAATTCTTTTAAAAGATTTTCAAAAAATCAAATACAGTATTTTTTTTTAATAGCACTTAAATTCATGAAATATCTGGTTTTGTGATTTGTTACTATGAATGTAGGCAACTACAGCATTTTGTCTGGACTAGATTTTCCTTTCAGTGGTTGTGTCCAATAGATCTAAGTAACTGATGGGCTGACAGCCTCTTCCTCATTATCTGCTGTGTTCTGTTTCTGATGTGTGTCTCCTTCAAATGAGAATTTTATCCACATTCAACCATTTTCGTATCATACTAAAATTCGTATATACTAGATCCACAAATGATTTTTGTAAAGATTCTGTGGAGATTTGATTCAACTTTATTTGAACAAACAAAATAAGGGAAACCTCAAATCCAGATTTCTGTATTTTTAAGAGGGAGAGAGTTCATAAATGAGGTCACTTCTCTTTTTCGAAGGCATTGGTGGAATAGGAAATCTATGCCCCTGTTAATTTTATGTATTGTTTAAGTATTGGTTTTGATGGTGGGAGGTAAAACTTGAAGTTGGTGCGTAAGATATCTTTGTCATTGCTCAATATTCTCCATTGCCAATCATTTGAAACATGCACGGACAAGTCATAGCTTAGTATTTTTCTGCCATATCATACCGTTACTGAAAATTATTATAAAACCTGCTGCTTGCCTGCGGGAAGTTCTCCTTCTGTCCTTTGAGAATCAAAGAACAGTGCTGAGTGTGTAATTTGATCTCTAATATGACAGGAAGATCGACTCTGTTATGCAATTGATTTTGTACTTGTTCAATCTTAGTGCTTAGTATTCTAAACAGCTTTTTATTTTTCTATTGCTTCTTTTAATCCTCCACCTCATTACCAGGCTGCTTAAATTATTAAAGAGCATTCTGCTTAAAGTGTTGTTTACAGCTTGCTTTTTCACATCGACTTGTTTTGCCCTTTGCCTTATTTAGATTTTGACAAATTACTATTGCTGTTTCTACACTGTTGCTTTTGATAAGAATTTTATCAGGCTTGCTTTCTTCTATGAGAATTCTGTCAAAATTGTATGATAGTTTTATATGAATTCCAATTTATTCCAGTTAATATGTGATTTCATACAATATTATCTGTATTTGGCTACATAATGTCCTTTACCTGTCTGCATCTGAATGGATCTTTCTCTGCCCTTTAAGAATTCTGTTAACTTATTATTCTCTTCCATGCAAATAATTATAGTAATGGAAAAAACCTCATAACGTCTCTTAAAAATAAAATAACTTGAAAAAAACCCGACAAAACTGTTCCTTAACCTTATCTTAAAAATAAAAAATAACAGTTTGTCTTAAAATTTCCCTGCTTTGCCTTTTTAGTTTGCATCCAAAATCACCAGTAAGACTATTTGGAATTTGGTCTTTTCTTGTTCCAAATTTCCGAAGAAATTGTAGCAAAGACAAATGATCTCATGAGATTTCCACGCTTGGGCCCAAATTGTTAGATTTCGTTCTAGTTCTAGGTGAATCACTCATACTACCTCAGGCAAGGTTTCAGATTGGGTTTAGCACATCTCAACTCTCTTGCCTTTTCTGCCAAAATTAGGATATAAGATGTCTCCAAATAAACTGACCTAATGAAGAGATATTATTTTGCCATACAAAACTTGTCTTACGTATATCCTTATACCGTAACTGCTACCACAGAGACTCCTGAGATGACAGGGAATTTGTGATTGGGCAAAGGTGATATTTAAGAACTTTGTGTTATCACATACTATTACCATATCCAATCCTTTCAAAAAGTTGGTGCTTAGTCTGTTTATTTGAAACTGCTTTTAGTTTTCTGTTCCAATCTCCTTCTTTTACTTAATCATATTCTTTCAGTCTTTCAAACTGACATTCAGTTTTCCTTAAAAAACATTTGATTTCAGAAATTTGCTCCCAAATGAGAATGAGACTTTCAAAATGATTTGTTTGCAATTGGTAAAAACATCATCCTCATTGCAGGTAGACGAAAGTGAACACAGAAAGAAAAAAAATCTGAAACAAAAAAATTTACTCTGAATGCCAGTATTTAGCTTTGTTCTCTAATATTTTTTCTTGAATAGAAAACGAGAGAGAAATCTACTTCACTGAATTACCAGAGATATTAAACATATGCTTAATTGCTTTTGCTCTGCAGAAACACCGTCATAATAGTTGGACCATTCTGTTGGTAAATGCATATAACACAGGATAAATAGAAATGAGCAACCTGATTGTAGACTGAATAAGCAGCGAGTCAAACCAATTATTTGCCAGTCTGTGTCGGTTAAGACTTTGCTGAAGAAAAATGTGCAGCCTTTGTTTTTGAATTGCAGCTTACATTTAAGATTCTAAATGTATGAATTTTGTGTATAGTAACAGCAGTTCTTCACATATTGCTACTGAGTTATTTGCAAGCATTTTGCTTGATAAAAACTAATTTAAAGAAAGCCGCTGGGCTTGCCTGGCCGAAGACATTACAATTCTTGTGCTGCAACTGGTTTAATGAACTGTGTTTCTGTTTCTCTTGTCTGTTTTGCTGCAGAGCCTTTTAGTGCTTCTGTCTGGGTGATGATGTTTGTGATGCTTCTCATTGTGTCCGCCATGGCTGTCTTTATATTTGAGTACTTTAGTCCAGTAGGATATAACAGGAACTTAGCACAAGGGAGAGGTAAGATTTGCTTTTTACACAACTCTAGAGCTATAAAAAAAAATTCATGTATTTCCCATCTCTTGCCCTCCGTCTTTTAAAATAACCATAACATTAACATAAAAAAGTAGTTATAAATACTGTTTATAACATAAAAAAGTAGTTATAAAAGAGTAAAAGCAGCTATGAAAATACATTTGCTCTTAATTTAAAATATGATTTCTAGAGGGATTATATGCTAATGTTTGTATTCTAATTATTGGAATAAAGATGTACAGAAGGGTAAGTGATATCAGAGAGAGTTGCATTCAGGCAGAGTTTGGTTAGTATTCTGTATCAGTTGTAGAGTGTCATCTTAAAAAGGCTTTGAAATAAGGTCTACAGACTCCTGACTTATGAATTCATGTTTAGTTCAGAGATAATGATCTAAACTGGTGTAGTTTGATGGGTCATCTGGAAAAATAGCAGTTATGTTGTATGTAGTTTTATATAGTCCCTATAAAAATTCTGATGAACTCAGCCTTGAAATGAGGCCAGTGGCAGAAGGGCATCACTTCTTTCTGTGTAGCATCCGTGATTATAGAAACTTTATTTTTAGAATATACCAGCACAACAAATTTAATATAGAGCTTGCCTGTCTCAGTGAAAGCTGCAGTTGTATATTATTAGCACTTTGACCTGAGAATGAGGATTCCATGTATTGTGGTGCCCTCATCCTTCCCTTTCTTTGCTTACAGTTCAAAGCGCAGCCTGTTTTTAATTTCTAAATCATACTTGCCTCATTTTATAACGAGAGATCTTCCAGCTTGATGAAGACAGTTCTGAAGACTATCACAAGTTAGTGGTTCCTTGTAGATTATGATTGGCTTGTTCCCTGAAATAGGGGATTATTGTAATATTCAGATGATGTTTTCATTTCAGTAAGATGGTAAATATGTAACCTCTGTCCAAAGTAAACACTGTGTTTATGAAGAGGAAATCAAAGGTAAATATAGACACTTGGGATCTAGGGGCTATGCTGTTCTTTTTCATCCCATCTCACGTGCTGGAATTGATTATTTAGTGTACTTACGGCTACAAAAGCATTAGACCGTCCTAACTTAGCTCTAGAGACTTGCCGCAAATCCAGGTGCTGTCCACTCAAAACACGGGAAGCATAAAATAAATGGGAATCTTTGTGTAGATTACTCCTTTCCCTAAACATTTTTGGTAGGATGAAGTTCAATGGTAATAAAATCTCCAGTAGCATAAACAGAACTTCAGACTGCTTTCTTGGCATGTGCTTTCCTTATCATTGTTGCTCAGAAAATACATAGTATGCCTGTATCAGCTCAATCTTAAATGGCTCTAGAAGGTAGTTTCATAAACCAACAGTCAGCTCCATTGTGTTTAATTTACTGCACTCTCTCTTCTGAGCACTGCTGCAGAATAGAAAGAGGATAATCTAAGATGATGTACTTGATTGCATTGTGAAAAATTTGCCCTGTATTAAAAGAGCATGCACAGAGTATACCCAGTCTGGGGTTTATTATATAATAATAATTAAATTATTATTAAAATAAATTAATAACTAAATCTGCGTTTGTAATGTACATCCTCTTGGATAGAGGGACAGGGAAGGAAAGGACGTAATATTGCAGGTGTCTCCATCAGAGCTTATTGTCTTATTGCCATTTAATTGAAAAATAGATACTTAGAAAAAGGTCAAATGAGTCACAGTCAGGGGAGATCTGTTTCTCTCCATTGACGATAAAGGGAGTCTGGATGATGAGCAATATTCGATGAATGCACTGAACTTGCCTAGAACTGGGTAAAAACAAACTTCCCTTTATCCTCATAGGGCTCTACAAATAGGGTCTTTTAGGTAGACAACAGCATTGCCAATCCACTTCTGCCACTACGTGGGCATAAGGGCATCGTACTGACCACTGCTTCTTACTTTGGGGTGAATTAAAAGCTGACTGAAACACGACTAACAATTACAGAACAGATGAGCTGGGACAGGTTTTTACTGTAATGCCAACAGATTTGAAGCCACAGGAAGGTGTGAGGTAGCCAGAGCCTGATTCCCTCTAAGTTACATATCTATACAGGTAGCTCCTTTGTGTTGGCTTACTGATTTATCCTCAGTGTAAAGTTCCTTAAACGTAGCAACGTAGGTGACATATTCACCCATTTTGATCTTGAACATGCTTACACAAAGTTCAAAAAGCATAATCTTGAAAGACTGGAGAGGGTACAAAATAATTTGGGTGAGAAAAGTACTAGAATTGAATCTTTAAGACTTAAACCCACAGTTTTCCATTTTACATGTGTGTGGGCACAGAAGATTGAAAGGGGCAGTACTGTGGCACATACGTGACTGCTAGAGACATACCAGTTTTCTTCTCCTCCAAACCTATGCTTTCCATTTTCATTTTAAAAATTTTGAAGTAAATGACACATAGAAAAGTGTTTAAATATTTTTTTACAAATAAGGAAATAAATGTCATTACAATAGAGAATATCTATGGTAAATCTTGTGATTCCATTGGGAGTACAGTGACTATGTATTGAGATATTTTTTAACTATATCTTTCCAAGTACTTTGTTGTTATCCTGTAGGGTATCTTGCCAAGGTTTAATTTAATTGCAATGAAAATAATTGCTCTTTGCAATTACAGATCCCCATGGACCATCCTTTACCATTGGAAAGGCGGTGTGGTTACTGTGGGGCTTGGTATTCAACAACTCTGTGCCTGTGCAAAACCCTAAAGGGACAACCAGTAAAATAATGGTGTCGGTTTGGGCTTTCTTTGCTGTCATTTTTCTGGCCAGTTATACTGCCAACTTAGCTGCATTTATGATTCAAGAAGAATTTGTTGACCAAGTGACTGGACTGAGTGATAAAAAGGTAGGTCTTCAGCTCAAAAGAGGGGTCTGTGTCTGTTATTCATAATCCTACAAATTTGTACTTTGTGCGAAAAAAACCTCTGAGCAAGATAATAAACTAAAACTGATTATTTCATTCTGAGTGTAACCCTTTGGTAACAAACCTAAGACCCAAAATGTGAAAATATCAGACTGTTTTCAAAGTCTTTGGGTTGCCTTTTCAAAAGTAACTACATTGAAAAGTACCTTTATTTTGTGATGCAAATCAATTCTCATTTGATTAAAAGGAATACCTCACTAATATACAAAAGTTTGAAAAATGACAATGTCAATTTGAACATAGGGAAGGCCTATTTAAAATTATCTGAACATCTCTGTGTGAAACGTCAATAATATATGAATTGACAAAATATTCATAAAATCAGCAACTGTCCAGTAATTATTGGAAGCTGGTTAATCCTCCTGAAAAAATATCTTTTTGCATTTTGTGTAGTGTGCAAGAAGTTATAGAAAGAGTTCAGGTTTAAAGTGCTGCCAGCACAAACAAGCAAAGAGAAATGATAAAAAATGATGCATATTGTCTGTGAATGTTTGAATGTTTTCTCTGTATAAAATGGCAAGAGTAAATACGAAGAATAAACAGATCAGAGAATTGGGGGTTTGTGTTATCACATTGGAGAGAGATTTAAATTACATAGGATAAGGCACAGAATTTTGATGAGTTTGTGTAAGACGCTTTCCTAATTCAAGAACTTTTGTGAGAAATGCACTTTGAGCAGTAGACTCTGATAGTGCACTGAAACCCTACTCAAGTTTCACACAAATTGACAAATAATAAATATGCTTAATTTCATACTGTTCTGGCTTGACTGAACTTTCTTCTGCTGAAAGTGTACTTTCCAGATCTTTGTACTTTTGAGTTTTAATCAGTAGTCGTACAAATCAGAAACCTAGCAATTACTACTTTTTCATTTCATTCGTGTGACTGCTTCGTAATAGTGGTATTGCATGGAAGGGTTGAAGTCCACTTGCAAAATTATTGTTGTGTTGGATATGCACAAAATACATGAAGGGCATGCCATTATCAAGTTTGTGCCCAGTTATTTTAAAATGAAACTAAATATTGACATTAAGAAGTAATATTTAAATATCATATAGCACAGGGGAGAACTTCACAAGGGATTTATCCCAAAGGACAAAAAGTAAAGGAAATTGTTATTCAAGAGAAAGCAACAGCTCAGATTGCTTTGTGTCTGTTTTTTGTTTTAACTGCTTTTTATGACCAGCCTTTGATTGATCTCCTGAAGTACCAAAGCATGAATTGCAGGCACGGCTAGAGGAAAGACAGATAAAAAGAAACAAAAAAAATTATAGTAGTTTTGTTTTCATTTAGTTGTGTTGTTGCAAACCTTTTGAAAGGGTATGAAGACTGTTAAATATACCTCTATTTTAGGATAATGTTCCTTGTAAGAGATAGATAAAAGGTATTCTTCTCTTGAGGATAAAAAAAATGGATTTGAGAAATGTCTTTCTGCTGCTTGTGAGAAAGTACAGAGCGTTTTCCTGGGAAGTCTCAGTTTTGGCAGGATTTGGCTTGCACCTGGCACAGCACTAGTGTTTGGGTGTGCCAGTGCACCCTTATTTTCCTCTCTTTGCTGACTGTTTGCCACTCTCACCTATGGGCTGGGAAAATGTCAGTATTTGTTCTGTAGCTTTTGGCTAATAACTTCCTTATTTTTGTCATTTTTCTATTCTCTCTGCTAAGTAAGATTTTATTTCCACAAGAAGCAAAATAAAAATAGAAAAATACTTGAATCAGAAAATACCATCTGCTTTTGTGTGGTCTTTCATCATTTACTTGATCTGCGACCTTTGTTTTTATTTTACATTTCTTCAAATTTTGCCTGAAGCATATAGAAGTAAATCAGGGGAGCCATGCCTTTTCTGATTAAATTAAACAAACCAGAAGTCCAGAAAAGCAATGATCTATTTCAAAACATTTTTCTTGTCATACATGGGTTTTGCCTCCTCCACAATTCTGAAACTTTTTGGATTTTGAAAATTCAAATAATTAAGGATAATTTATGGGAATATAATCGGATTCGTGTTAAATTATTTTTCTCCCTTCTTTCCCTTGTTGCTGCAATGTTGTTAGCAGGGGAAAAGTTCAGGAATTTGAAAGAATTTTACTGTTTTTCTGTAAAAAACTCTGATCCTTGCTGCAAGCAAAGTCGTAATAGGCAAAGGCCAGTGAGAAGGGACAGAAATATGAGTAAAATTAATTGTAAATAAGTAATGTCTAGAAGTCCAATAAATTTTTGAAAAAACTTCTGGGCTGATAAATCAGTTCACTGTTCCGTCCTCTCCTCTTTTTCCTACTGCCACAACTGAAGAGACAAGCTCTTTTGTCAATGCTCTATTGTCAATGCAATGAAGTATTCCCAACTAGAGATACAGCTCCATGTGTGATAGACTATAGAGAAGAGAAGCCAGAGAAAAACCCTTCTCTCTCTCTGAGCAGTCATCCCTTACCCTCAGCATTCAATACCTTTCCATTCAGGAAATGTGTTACATTCCAGCAGCTGGTTCACTAGGTTTGCTGAACACATGACAACGTGCTCTCTACCCTTCTGGGCTTCAAGACCTCTTGATAGTTTCCTCAACCTTCCTAATGTTGCTAATGAATTTCTGAATGCCATGCCATCTATGTGTCACCCAGAAATACATGGCACAGCATGTACTGGAGTTACTAAGGGTGGGTGTTCATAAACTCAAATGATTCAGCAGATGAGAAGAAAATTATATTTTGACATCCTTGTGTATGTAGAAGATTTTTAAAAGCTTTGTGTTCGTAAAAAGGTACAGAAAATTAGTCCAAAAGCATGCAGCAAAGCTGCCATTCGTAGCAGTAGTTACTTTTGAGAGCATTTATTCTTTTCATGTGATGAGAGAGAGACAAGATTACTAAGAGTGAGTAGATAGCAATGGATGAAATTGTCTTGCAAAGCTTTGTCTGCTGTGATTCCTCCACGCAGTCGCATTTTAAGAGATGCCCCACATGCATATGGTCTAGGGGATTCTCTTCAACTTCAATAGGAACCCTTAGTTATGCCATTTACAAATTCCTTGGTTTTGCAAGAGTCACAATATTTGTGTAATGTTGGCTTTATATTTTTGTACAGTAAGATGGCACAAGTTCTGTAGTTACCTAGAGATACGTCTGTGTCAGAGCAGACTGAGGGCTAGAGGCAGCATGGATGACGGGGGAGTTAGGGTGACCCTCGTACTCCAGTCCGTCTTTTCACTTCAATATTAGACCTTTACAGTGCTTTTTGAGAGTTGTCACACATAGATATCAACTGTGTTTCAGTAACTGATGATTATAATAATAGTCTTGGAATTACTAAACATAGTAGCTGTATTTTTCAACGATCAGAAATCAGATTGTCAGTGTTTTCCAACTATAAAGTAAAAGAAGAAAGCACAGAGTTCAAATATAGGTGTTTTTCTATCACTTCAAACCAGCCATAATTCTCATTAAAATCTGTGTTAGCAGAGGGAGAATATTTACTATTTTCTACTCTTTTAGTAATTTTTCTACAGTTCCTTAAAATACTCCACAACAATAACAAACAACTGCTCTGAATACCAACCTTTTCAGGCAACCATGCAAATCTTCAGATTAAGTCAGCATTTAATTTTTGTGAAAGATCACTTTACTGACTTTAACAAAATTGGCAGTTTTATTAGGGCATATAGGTAAAACAAAACAAAAGCAATAGGACAGTTTCCTCGGCTCAGCCATCCCGTTTGGGATTCCTAGATCAGTAGGGCTTTAGTTTTGTTACCCTGTGCTGCAGTTCTAGCAGCTGGCAGAGCGTGGGGAAACAAGAACAAATTGATTAGTCTTCTGAATAATAGTAGATCTCTCCACAATTATGATTCAAGCAGGGGGCTTGTGCATTCAATTAAAGGATTTTATTAGCGATTAAAAAAAATTAACATTTCAGAAAATGTCTAGGAAGAAAATTGCTTCCTAGCAGACATGATATATTTTATTTCCTCTCATGGGGCTTCAGGGAAAATGAGTGCATGTAGAGACTCGATGCTTCTTTCTTTCCTGTCTCATGCCTGCCACATAGATCTTTGCTGCAGTCACAGAGCCTATATGTTTCTCCATAAAAATTATTGAGGAGAACTTCATACGCTTTAGATATGAGTGTACCATTAGTAAAAGATTTTAAACTTTTTCTTTCTCCTTTATAAGTAGTCTGTGAGCAGGCAGTAGTAGCAGAGAATCAATTCCAAAGTATCATCTCCCTGTGATTGTCAAAATTTGTTGGTTAGGTGTCTTGTGCCAAGAAATTCCAGTCAATGGATGGTGTTTGGAACTACTTATGTCTCTGAATTTTCTGTCTTTAAATTCTTTGTATGAATTATTTCATCGCTTGAATTGCTTGTTATCCCCACGATCTTTGAATGAAATAGTACTTTTTATTAATCTTTGCTCTCCTGCAGAAATATTTGTGTGTTCCATGAATGTTCAATTGGGACAGATGCCTCGATTCCCACAACCATTCCTATAGGAGGAAACTCCTCCCAACAACCTAAACTCATATGAATGTTCTTCAAAAGTGAGCATATTCAGAACCAAACTCCATTTCTGAATTACCAGGACACTCCACCATAATCTTTGTGTTCCCTCAATTTCCCTGCCATACCCCAGGATTAGGAATTGAGCTTGCAGAATAATCATCACAGCTGAATTTCCAAAAAATGTCAGCAGCAGCAATTCTTACAATTCTTGAAGTCATCATTGTTTCTTTAACTATTTTTTTTCCAGTTCTGTTGATTGAAGAATTCGATACAGATTTTAGGAGATATTAGAAGCCATTTCACTACTTTGGGAATTAATTATGTGTAGATTTAAACAAGTTAATAGCAAGCTACATCTGTATCAGTAGAATCTCTGGACATAAATTTAAGTACAGGGTTTGTCTCAGTGTTGCATCATAAACACAAAAAGGAGATAGCAAATATAGACTAAGAACCATGACTAGTATACAGTGTAATTTTAGTGCATGGGTCAATTAGTATGTGTAAAGTAGTAGCAAAGTAATAATTTAAACAGTTAAGCTGTGAAAAGAGAAAATGAGAAAACTAAGACATCTGTTAGCTAAACGAATAGAGAAAAATAGAGTTCATTCCTTTATGCTTTGTCAAAATATGCTTAATTAAAATGAAGCGTTTAATTGTAGCTCTGTAACATGAAAATATTGTTGCAGCAATAATTTCACAGTCAAGGTTTGATGGAATTGAAAATACTCTCAGTTTTTGTGTAAGCCTATTTATATTTTCTTTGCAAATTGGCACTGAATCCTGAGAATTCTTGGTGCCCTGAGACCAAACTTTAAAAAGAGAGGTATTACATATGTAGCCCAAAGGAAGCAGCAGCTGTATAAATATTGGCTGTCTCTTGCAGCACAGGGTATATAGATTGCACTTCTAACTTCAGCAGTAAAACCAGAGTGCATTTTACCATGGAATTCATGGGTGACTGCTTTTATCAATGCTCAACAGAATTTCCTCATTAGCCAATAGTACCTCTAATTTGAGTGGCCTTTTTCTTAAAGAAACATTTTAACTTAATCATCAAGTGTCACTTGGTATTTAAAGGGAGATATTGAACAGGCGCATGTAAAACTTCCAGGTCTGTTAGCAAAAGTTTGTGTGAGATTATTTGAATGATTTCCAAATCCGAGACCTGAGTGTGCGCAGAGCTGTTGCTGTTCCTTTGCAGATATTCCCTGGCTTGTTTGTCTGTGCTGATGCAATAGTGATAGAGAGGGTAAAATGGTGGAATAAACCTATGTGCCATCAAGCAAATGGTTTGTAGCTCTGATTTGTAGGAATAAATAGGGACTAGGATTATAGGTGTGAGAGCTCCAGAAGCCCTTTTCATCTCAAGTAATGCAGCTGCTGAGCCCCTGGGGAAAGTGCAAGAACTTCTTTTCCCCTGGAATCACGGTGGTGGAAGGCAAGCCATCCCTCCCCCTGCGCACAAGCTTGCTGCAGTTACCTGCACCCCTCCGGGAGCAGTGCGTTAGGCTCCCCAGCAAGTAGTGCAAATGGTCTTTTTGCCTTCTTTGTACGGGGTGCCACAATGTCTCAACTGAGATGAAGGTGTGAAATGGCTGTTTACCAGTACGCCTCCTTGTAGTTCGGGTTCTCTAGGGAGATGTTGGCAGACGAGGAACATCTTCCAGTATCAGTCTGCTCCAGTTTCTGTGGTGCTGCCATATTAAAATGCACGAGAGAAAGTCACATTAGAGTGATGAAATTGAGCTGGTTTTGCTTGGGATGTAGGTGTTTCTGTAAGTTTAGGCAGCGTGAAGACACACCTTCTCATATAATAGAGTTGAATGAACCCACAGCAGTTGCCTAGAAAAAATTTGAGGCAGCTTATGTGCCTTCTGTTTTTTCAACCTGAAATTGCCCTTCTTCACATTTTGAATGCCTGAAACACTTTGCTTTTCCCTTTTCTCTCTAGTTTCAAAGGCCGTATGATTATTCACCTCCTTTTCGATTTGGAACGGTCCCAAATGGAAGCACAGAGAGGAATATCAGAAACAACTACCCTGATATGCACCTTTACATGACGAAGTATAATCAGAAAGGAGTTGAAGATGCCTTGGTCAGCTTGAAAACTGGGTGAGCTTTTTCCATGAGTTTTGAAGAATACTGTAGACTTTGCAGAAACTGAGAAATATTGACCTGTACTTACTGTGATTCTGAACAGACTGTTGTCAGCCATGCTGTATAGTACATGGCTCTTTTTTTTTTCTTTTTCAACTGCTCTGTACAGATATCAGAAAGGAAAATGGTTGCCTGTGATTTGTATGACTTTTAAAATTGCATTCAAGCTTTGATGTCCTGTGCACAATAGATTCAAAGGGCAGAATTAGTATTTCTCAAATTTAAAGAGAGATGATACAGATGGTCCTGGAATTGAGTGGAGGCTCAACACAGAACATGATGTTTTGTGCAGTCCCTTGTTATCTTTGCAGAACTGTCTTTCACAGGAGTGTGGTTTCGCAGGCTAAATTTCTGACAAAGCTTGTTTGTCTGGCCAGTGTGCAACGAGTTATTTCTTTTCAACCTCCTATCCCTTTGGTATGCTTTTAGGTCCTCTAATGACCCTGTACCTTTACTGTTACATCTGAACTATTGACTTTGATCTTCGTAAAATCTGGTGACATGAGATAGTCTCAAATGTACTGTCTAATCCTGCTTCTGGAAATCTTGGTAAATATTCTGGCAAATATTATTGTCCTTCTTCCTTAAGATTTAGACTTGAGTGCCATCCATCCTTTTCTCTCTCTGAAGTAGCCCATTCTCATTCTACCTGGTTGGACAAAGAGACTGAATTTTTATTCTTTATCCTGAAAAGGCGTGAGAGTGGCTCACTGCTTGTGTCAGTACTCATCTGGGTGACAGGAATGTGTTACCTCTAGTAATCTTTTCTAAACATATAGACTTGATAATAGCATTTGTATTTTTTTAAATAATACTAGATTACAATAATCATAATTTATCAATATAGTTTGCTTACGTTTTTTTTGTTTTGAAGAGAGATTGAAGAGGATTTAAGCACATCTACTCTAGTGGCTGTTTCAAGGCACATCTCACCTGCTACTTACGGTGAACACAGGACACGTTTCTTCCTATATTAAATTAAGCTGTTACTTTTGGTCCTTTTAATTTTTACTGTCCTCCCAGACATGTCGGGGATTGTAACATATTTCTTATGCAAAAAACCCTGAAGTCATCAAGTTTTTCTTTAGAGTGGAGGTTCCCTTCTTTAAAAAGTTCTCCTTCCCACTGTTTCCTTCCCCACTGTCTCCATGTTGCTGCCTGGACTCCCTCTGTCGTAATTTCTCAAGGCATTCTTATCTGGCATTTTTCAAGCATGGTTTGTCCCATCCTAAGATAGGCGTGTAACGTAAAGTGAGATGAACTTTGCCCAAGGTCTTCCAAACTGGAGGCAGAGATCCTTCTGTGACCGAGCCTGTGCAAGTTCTATTTCCTGAGTGACAGCTAGGCTATGCATTATAGATAGTGGAATGCTGCCATTCCT